AAAATATTCCTTACGCTAATAATCACAGATATGCAGCTACAACCGCGCTTATATCTACATATGTATGTTTTTGTTGTTGTCTGTGGTTTGTGCTATTGTTAATTTGGTCAAATACTATAACATATAATGATATGTAATCAGCAGCTTTGAATGCGGTGCGCTTTCTGTTACTAATTACAGTGGTCTCTATACCAAAGAGCCATATTCGCAGTTCCTATACCTGTATAAACATACATACAACGATTATATATCCGTACACTTAACTTAATAAGCATAACTTAAATTAATTACAGCGACATATTAAACTTCAAGCAAATAGCAAATTATAGCAGGTATCGAGCAGATTCGGTCTGAAGAAATACATAACTTAGCGAATAACATATAGTATGTAAATATTTGCATTTAACGGTATTGAGATAGATATCTATAATTACATATATATGTAAGTATTTTGGTGTCTGTGATAAACATTTTAGTCAGCTTTCAGCTTAAAGTTTTTAATAAGTAAGCCATACATTACATAGATACTTTCTCTGCTCCTATTTTCTGCTATCATCTTAAGATCGTTTTAAGATTTTCCGTATTTATCATTTTTTTAGAAGGATCCGCGTCGTCATAGGGCTGCTATTCTATGACTTCGTTGTGGGCTGCAATTCAGAACTTGTCAGCGAATTTTTGTAGCATCTTTTCGCAGTGTGTGACCTATCCATCTTGGATTTTTATATAGGTCGTCATTGATGATGACTTTGGACCGCCACACCTTGAAGATACGTCAATTCAAGTTATCACCTAGAATAAATGAGCATTAATAATTTAATTATTTTGTCATCAAAAAATGGATKTGCTTCGAATTATAAATAAAATGGCAAAATTAAGTACCCAAATTTACAGTATATCCACATAGTTGGCATCTCCTTTGCCACTTTTATATACACTTTTTATTCGCAAATGGTAATTTTGCGAATAGTCAGGTGACTCCATAAGCCTTAAAAATTTGTGTGAGAAAACAGAGCTCGAAAGAAGACCTCAACTTCAATCAACTAGAAAACTTGTGATAACAGCAAGAACGCTAAAAAAAAAGATATCAACATCTCTTATTGATCAACTCAACACAATTTTGTTATGAACCATGTCAATGGTCGACTCATACCTCAATGCGATGTCAAATTTTGATTGTGTCTGACTTTTTGACCAAACCAGATTTAGCCACCTGTCACTTTTTCTGTTTTCGAAACTTAAAGGAGAGCAAGCCATGACTAACAGCAACGTCAGATATATGACGGCATTGACATAATTCAGCGAATTAAAAGACAGTGGCTAGGCTAGCTAGGTCATATCGTCCGAATGGACGAAAACACGTGAGCTCTGAAATTATTCAGTACCCGTCGAGGGAAGCAGAGGAAGRGCAAGACCTCCACTCCGTCGCGAAGACCAGGTGAAGAGGGACCTAGATTCGCTTGGAATCTCCAATTGGCGCCACACAGCAAAAAGATGAAACGACCGGCGCGCTGTTATTAACTCAGCTAAAACCGCGTAAGTGGTGTCTATGCCATTAATATTTCGAGCCGATTGACGCCGCTTGACTCGCAGCATAACATGGTTGAACAATGACAAACATAGAGTCTGTACATCCCTTTCAGTGCAATATTTAGAAGCTAAGATAAACGACATAAAAGACGGGAAGTACAGTGTAAGATACAGAGGGTTACCAACCTTACTTAACTTCTATAAAAATATATATGTATTTTTTTATTTATAATAATGTATAGTTACAAATATAATAGTGGTTTCAAGATTACTTCAGTTTACAGAGAAACATATATATTTTTAATTTGACCGCAGGCGGGTGTAAAATTAAGAATAAATTTCCACTTAGTTTTACTGCAGTTGAACATTACACAAATCTGCCAGCAATACATAAAAGCAACTTTTAACTTCCGCTTTCTAGCAGTTTCGTTGTTATTAAGTGACCACTAGGCGTATGAGTAATTTTTTTTGCTCATTTCTCTTTAAGCGAAGCACAGGCACTCAATTCACATATAAAAATCTATTTATTCCATAATATTCTAACAAAGCGCCAGCACTRTGGCGAACTCGCATAATGAAGCAATTATTTAAAACGCAGTGAAATTGCGCTCCTGTTACTATTGTTGTTGTTGCATTGCTTTACAACTTTGTCATTACGTTAAAAATGCTTAAAAGCACGCTCGCATGGCATTTGCAACTGGTAAGGGTGTGTATATGGGAATGTGTATGTCTGTGTGAGTATATGTATGTATGTTTACCGGAGAAATGTAGCTTTGCGGAAATATTCAGCAGACAATCGCTAGCTCTAATATATGTATTTGTAAAAATTATTGCATGCAGCCACAAGCACCTAGAGCCAGTAAGTGTATGTGAATATGTGCATGCGTGTGTAAGCACCAATTTTATTTGCTAATATGTAAATAACATTTGAAGAGGTGCCATGGCTCTCGATAACTCCTTGAAGTATGCCTGCCACAGCGGGTCGGTTGTAGGAGGTTATGCGACTGCTGCGGCCACTTTTGCACATTTTTCTCTACTACTTTTGCTTCTTCTGCCTGTTACTTCCGCTATTTCGTTTGGCTCTGGCAACAATTGCATATTACGGCGCTTAAGTGATGGGGGCGTAGCACGAGACGTCATAATCATGCATATGTAAATATATGTGCCATACTAAAAACAATAAGAACAATTCAACAGAACACACGCGCACACATATGTGTGTTACCATTTATGCTTGGCTTAATTGTTCAACTACAAAAGTTTTCCTTTTATTCGCCTGTATTTTTTATGCTAAATGTTTAAGTGAAATTGCAAATTATTCTGCCATCCCCCACTTCCCCTAGCTTTAGCCACTCGAGARCTGAATATATTGAAAAGACCTGGTGTACACCAATGCATCCCACCGCCCCCAGCACTTGTGAAAAATGTTACTTTGTTATGCAATTAGTCGATTTAGTTAAAAGTTGAGAATCTTTTATTACGAACTGCAGTCATTCACATTGTTACATTGATATAGTATATTGGTGYATTGGCTGCCTACTTGAGCGCCCGCACACACTCACACATGTTCACATGCTCTGCTGCAAGCGTTAGTGGCTTTGAGCGAGAGCGTTGCACCTCGGTGATTTGTTTTCCTGCATTTTTTATCCGACAACTGGGGTAACTCGTTACACACTCATATRCACAAACACGGTTCTTTTTAACTGCTTGCATTTGCAGTATTTGTTTATTAACATACTCTTATATTTGCTTACATAAGTACTATATGCATGTGGGTCGATTTTAACAAGTCAATGAATGTTGCAAAAGTGTGACAAAGCACAAGCGGTGCACATCCAGCAGCAATAATGAATGTATAGATTGGAGGATGGTACGTTTTTTCCACAAAATACCTTTTAATTCCAAATAAAGGCCTCTTAAATTTATCATACAAGTCTACACACACTCCAAATTTTGGACTTTTTAAAGTTGTTTCATATGGGCAAGTTCTGCCTTTGAAGGCGGGGTAAAAACTGAACGATTTGAATGGCTCCCTAGAGTATAAAATGTTCAGTTGCARCCGTTCCTTCCTTGTTTAGCCCTTCCGTATTTATTTCAAATAACCTCCAAGTCTAAAAAACCCAATTTTAATTTTTTTATTTCAATCTTTTTCAAAGGACTCATAGTTTTTCCGGAAATCGATATAAACACCTTTTTAACTTTAGAGATTCAAACGTTCTCTCCTCCTCTTCTTGCCTACCGCAGATTGCCTGCAATTTTTTTTTTGTCACTGCATCTATTTGCTGCACCTCTTTGAACCAATTGATACCAGACAAGRTTACAGAGGTGAGGATCTTGTCACTGTGGATATCTCCCACGCTTTTACTGCAATCGAGAGAAAATGTGCGAAGGCGCATAGGCAAAGACAATGTTAACAACTTATTAGCCTGTCTCTTATACACATCTAGATGTGTATAAGAGACAGAGATTACAGAGGTGAGGATCTTGTCACTGTGGATATCTCCCACGCTTTTACTGCAATCGAGAGAAAATGTGCGAAGGCGCATAGGCAAAGACAATGTTAACAACTTATTAGCTGGCGGCATATAGAATTATTTTACAACGAATGAACTTGATGAAGACGCTTCTGTCGAGTGGTAGAGTAACTAAGTAGAACAAGAAAAAAACCAAAGCTATAATACTCTTAACAAATACAAAAGATTCCATACAATAAGTTTCAGCAGTCAGTTTGTATGGTAACTTTATGCTATAGTGAATTCATCTAAACAACTTCTTCAGAGATAGCACTGYTATATACGACAATAATCTAGGTCAAATTTCGTGAAGATTTATCGTAAAATGAAAAAGTTTGCCACTTTATTCCGATCGTTCAATTGTATGGCAGCTATATGCTATCTGATATGAACCGCTTCTTAGCAAGAAAAGGACGGGACCAAAATCTCAGATCGATGCTTCAAAAACCCAGGGACTAATTAACATTTTGTGAACAGAACAAATTGTTTTTGTCAAATATAGTATTTCTGTATTCTACTCAATGTTTATTAACGGTCGACCTAAAGGGAATATTGAGAATATACGCTCTAATAATTTCCGAGCACTCCATCTTTACTTCTTTGAGTTAGTATAGAGTAAGAGAAGGAAATGGCAAATYCCTTCACGTAAATTTTCTACGATCGACGGTGTTAATACTTATTCTCTCTGAGCAATCAAATGAATTAGAAAAACGATATGAAACGTTTATATTTTCGTAGACACCTACTTACTCTTGTCGATAAGCATTATTATACCTCTTTAAAGTAGAATGGAAAAAAATAAGAATATTTGTGTAATTCATCGGCAGATTGGAGAGGATATCTTATAAAAGTGTATCTGGACGTGCTGCAACAGATTTTCTAGTATCATCCATAACAAATAAATATATTACATCTTCCGAGTTTCAAGTCARACTATAGCAAATTCCGTCTCCTTTCCAGGCCAAAATGCTGGAGAACTCACACGCTTGGATGGGCGCTTCAAGCTCTTCAACAATAGCAGGTATATAAACGAAGTCTTAACTTRATAAACTTTGCGTTTAAAAAACATTCAAAATGAAGCTGTCTAAGTTTGCATTTTCATAGCCTACAATTGACTTACTATATCGCAATCTGCTTTTACATTTCTTTCAGCAGAYAGCTATCAATATCAATTGCAATCCATGTGGCAGAAATGTTGGAACACTAATCAAAGTCTCATGCATCACCTGCGCTTCCGCGAACGTGGCCCACTGAAATCGTGGCGCCCCGAAACAATGGCCGAGGCTATATTTAGCGTGCTCAAGGAGGGACTCTCACTATCGCAGGCGGCACGCAAATACGACATACCCTACCCGACATTTGTATTGTATGCGAATCGTGTACATAACATGCTCGGCCCTTCCATTGATGGTGGACCGGATTTACGACCAAAGGGTCGTGGTCGTCCGCAGCGCATATTGCTTGGCATTTGGCCGGATGAACATATTAAGGGTGTCATTAAGACAGTTGTCTTCCGCGATGCAAAGGATCTCAAGGATGATAGCATAGTTCCACATTTACCTTATGGTCGGCACTCGGTAAGTGTCGGACTATCATCAATTTTGCTGGTTATGCACAGCATTACTAACTATATTAGTATTTCTAGCCCATGTTTCCATTTCAGGATGGTCCGCTTAACTACCCTGGTATGAGTGGTCCCTGTCCGAATGGTGTGCCCACACCCACTGGTGATCAGATGTCGCAAGAAGCCACCGCTGCCGCTGTGGCCGCCGTAGCACACAATATACGCCAGCAAATGCAATTGGCTGCAGCCGTACAACATCAACATCCGTCGGAGGGCCCTACGGGACCTGGTTTATTTAATATACCTCCTCATTTGCAACCACATTTAGCCGCCGCAACATCAGCTGGAACTGGTGGCGCTGCGCCAGGTGTGCATGGCTCTGTACCGCTACCAAAGACGAGCATATCTCCGGCGTTGAGTACCACATCGAACCCTAGCGCGGGCACAATGCTTGGACCGCGACATGCTCCATCGCCCTGCGGTCCTGGTTTATCCGGTCTTCCGCCGAACATACCGCCCAGCATGGCGATGGCGCTGCATATGGGACGTTGCGATCCAACCGGTGTACTCAGCCAACAGCAACAACATCAGTTGCAACACCTACACATGCAACAACAGCAAGCATTACAACAGCAACAACAACAGCAGCAGCATCATCAGCAACAGCATCAGCAGCAACAACACGGGTTTGGTTACGGTGTTAGTTCCATGCCTCATCATGGCGCAGCCTCAGCATCAGCAACAGCAACATCATCTTCCAGTCAACATTACCAACAGCACCAACTCCAGCACCAGCAGCCACAAGCTCAACAACAACAGTTGCATCAACATCAGCAACACCACCAATCGGCGAGTGTTAGTGCAACAGCGACAAAAGCGAAATGCCCCTCCCCCTCATCGTTGCTCGAACATCGTCGCAGCAGTCCAAGCGGCAATTCACACCTACACTCTACACTCACGGAGTTAGGATTAGATATGGGCTATAAGACAACGCGTAGCAGCGCTTACTCACCAACTCGTCTCTTCTCCGAAGACTTGGCAGCTTTGGTGGGAGCTAGCGAAGACTCACCTCCAGGCACAACGGCGTCCTCCACAAATGTTAGCAGTACCAGCACAGTGACGACACCGGCAATGTCCGGCAGTCACGCGGATGTTAGCATTACATCGAGTGCAGCGAGCGGTAATATAAGTTCCAGTAATATAAAAATCGAACCCATCACGACAAGTAGYGAATAAACAAAATACTTTCCTATTTAAGATGTCGTTAGGTTCAATCGATTTAATTTATTTGTAACAATCAGTTTGGAGGCATACTTTTTTGGGAGAGAAATTTTCACGTTATCAAAATTTGTGTTAAAAATTCGTTGTCCTTTTAAAGTTCTTTACTCTTGTTGATTATAAAAATAAATAAATCTTTGTCTGACTCGTTTTAAACTTGTTATACTTTGATTTTCTAGAGTTCTCTGCAACGCAACGTTCGCGGACAAAATTATTTTCAGAACTTTAGTGCCACAAACCACCGCTAGTTTTATACGATCCAGAGAAGCGATAGGCAAGCAAATAWTTTTAATATTTTGTTAAACTGTTACTCACCCTCTTCATTTGTTACAATACCTTCATACCTTCATTAAGAAATGAATGAACTGACCTAAGACAAATTCTAGTAAGATCCTCAATGGTCAACCTTATACTTTCTAATTTAAAAGCAAGAAAATTATTTCATAAAGAAGGTCCTAATAACCTTGCCTTGGCCTCGAAAGTATGACTTAAAAAAGTTTGGACAGGTAAAGACGGTTAGACTAAAGCCACACATATTGTTCAAAGCTTTTAGGAACCTATTTTTCGATTTAATATTCCATTATCGATAAACTTGACCAATTGATGCTACAACTTCATTAACCCGTTTGAAAGTAAGCCTCATTGGTAGCATTTCCGACACCCCCTTCCACAAAAACCTCTATTCAAGTTTGACGTTTTCCACTACCAAATATAATCTACAAATCGTAAAARTTCTATTCTGTTTATACTTAACCTGAAAACGTGTTGCCTCCAAATATACAAAATTATTTATAAAATAATCTCAATTTATTATTTACATTTTGATTTGCTTACCATTAAATATAAGTAATTCTTTGAACAAATACTGATCAAAATAATTATATCAGAAGTCTTAAGAGCAAATACAAAATTATCATCGTTAACGCAATAGAAATTTTAATTTTATAAAATTTGATTTCGAAAATTATTTAAAAACAACATTATAAAAATATCGACAAAAATCCATTTGGAAAGTTTGTGAAACTTTTTTAATTTTATTAAAATAAATATATTTAGTATACATAYTAAATAAGAGTATTCTTCCTAAGTGAAAAATAAAGATATACATATGTCATATTTAGAATGAAAAAAAAACAATAATAATAAATATACATGTATTACGTTATGTTTGGGTGTAAAATGTACCTACATGCAGTGAGTACCCCATTCAAGCAACGATTTAAAAAATGTTAATATCGAAACTTTCGTAAAGTATGAAATATTTTGGTTAAACATTGGGTAATAAATATTTAAAACTTCAAATTACAATATCACATACTTTTTCCGTCAATGAAAATGATAGCTGAATAAATTGCTGAATAGATCAAAGGTCATCAAATTTGTATTCGGAGCTTTACTTAATATTTTCTGAATGGGAACTTCGGAACTTTTTCCGCACTTATTCAGCTAATGAAAATAATTGCTAAATATAGAACCAATAGCCGAACTATGTAAAATTGGATTTGGAATTACAGTCAACTAATATAAATAATTGTCCATACCAAAAGAAAATTTTCGAAAATTTTAAATTGTCGATTACATGACAAAATTCGTTGCACGAACGCCCCTAATGTTTAAATTATATTGTTTTTGAAAATATCAAAAGTAGCTACGTAGTATATTTCACTCACTACAATGCAGCGATCTCTTAAACATTAAGTCATTTGTTCTTTCATGTTAAAATACAATGTGTATGTGTTTCACTGTACAGTATTCCCTCATTAAGTACATTCCAACCAAGCATGCAATTTGTCGAAAACATACACATAACCCACTAACCAAATATAAAAGATGCATAAATATTTATAAAAAAAAATTGAAGTATTTCGAAATGTGTGCCCAATTCAGTTAAACGAAATTGTTTATGAAGAATAATATTATTATTTACATATTTATACAAAAAAATGTACAAAATTAAAATAAAATTTGGAGAAACAAAATTCTTAAAAGTGAATTATGCTTTAAATTGAAAATATTTTGATAATAAAAAAAGTCAAAAAAACGGAAGTAAAAATTAAATTAAATGTTTAGGACCCTTTAATGAAAAACGATAAAAACTATAATTAAAGCGAACAAATTTGCAACAAATGCCTTTCGGAATAAAATTCAAAAATATAAAAGTGGAAAAAAGCGTAAAAATTAAAAGCAAATAATGTAAATTAATTATTATTGTATTATTAAAAATGATGACAAAGCGTGTATGACAAAAATTTACTATTTATACAATTGTGGAATTTTAGGAAAATTTAGGAACAACAAAAGAAACAAAATTAAAATTAAAATGCAAAATTTTAGACTGATCTTTATGCAAATTCGTGAAATGTGGCAAATTGGTATAAGGTTATGAAATTAGTTAAATGTTTTTAAAAAAATGTACTTTTTATTAATTTATTTATTAATTTTAGTATGGCAATTTTTTGTTAATTTTGGTTAAACAAAATATGAAACTACATTTCAATTAATATTTTTCCTTTTCTATAACTAAAATAAACTATATTTACACAAATTATACACAATATATCATATCATATTTTTCTCAATTATAACTTAATTTTTTAAATTTGTATACCCTAAACAGGGTATTTTAAGAAACGTCGGAGACTCTATAAAACACATTTATGTATATAAACCATCAGCATGATAAGCTGAACCGATTAATGCTATCAGAAATGCCCCGATGAAGGGTATTGTAACATCTGGAGTCTATTTTTTACTTATTATTATGTTTCATCATTCACTTTAACATATTATAAAAAAATTACAAAAAATATTTATTATTTGACTAGAATATAAAATTTTGTTAATAATATGTAATTTTATTTAATAATTTTATATTTATTTAATTTATTTAAAAAAATAAATCAATGGACACATAGTATGTTTTAACCATTTTGAAATTATTTATTTCCAAAATTTGTATAAAGTGCCTTCTTCCAATTAATATTTGTTTATTTTTTTCCTACAAACCCTTATATTAAATTTTTCAATATTTTCTCACCAAAAATTTGCCAATTTCATGCACAGCATATAAGGAAAATYGTGAAAATAATACATTTTTATATGTTTATATAGAACATTTCGGATAGATGAACTTAAAAAGTATAAACAGTTAACAAATTGATTTAGTACCTAATATTTTAATGAAAAAAATATTTCGGCCCAAACAAAATCGAATTTTAGGCAAATAATTAAATACTTTTTTTTTGCTTTTTTTTTTTTTGTTTTTGGTTTGTAAAAGCACACAAAAAGCATATGTAAACTATAAATGTCAAAAAGAGGGAGAAAAACTTCATAAACAACAAATGAAATCAAAATATAAACTTTGAATAAAAAATAATAAAGCTCACATAAGTTTCATGATTTTCAAGCAAAGAGAAACAGTTGAAAGTCCTTTAGCTTAATTATGTACTAAAAACAACAATTGATTTCAGCTTCGTACTTAGCGATCACTAACTGGAATCATAAATACAATAGAAACAAACATAGTGTTCACAGAGAACCAGCTAAGAATAACAATTAATGTACAATATGCTTACTTGACAAATTATTTGTTTGTATGGGTTGATATTTCATTCATAGTTGTCATATGTACATATGTGTTAACCCAAAATACAAATTTTTCTGGTTTTTGCTTTGAAATTGTGAAATTATTTTTCAAAAAATTAATAAAAACCGAAAAAGACAAATAATTCTTGGTGAGTTTTAGCACATAGAAGAATGTTTTGTTTTTTAGACAAACTGCGTTGTATCGGTTATGAGAGAAAACTATCATACCCGTTCATGTATACATACATTGTCAAATAAGCATACTGCCAACAATTTGTTTACTGTGTACTAAAAAAACAAWGAGAAAAAAGAAGGGAAATAGAGCAAACGAAACTTTAAATAAATTTTATTACCGAAAGTAAGCAAAAAACACAAAACAAAAGCATAATCAACAATAGACACATTTAAAAAATAACTTAAAGCAGCATAAGACATAACCTAAGAAGCATAAGTCTTCAGCAACCAACACAGCAACATTATATTATATTAAGTAACCAGTTGTCTACCAGAAGCTTAAGGAAATGTGAGTAAATGCTTATGTTGCAACTAAAAATAATAAAATAATTTATTGGTATCCCTCTTTGGTCCAAACTAATACTACATTTCATTGCTGACCCAAAAAAATTAAAGATAATGTATTCCGCACACACTCAACTCCCCTGTGTAATTACGAACTTCGCCAACAATAGTTGTAAACACAATTCAAAGTCACAATATCCGTCAAATGGAAGCCCAATTACTGCAAAATATGTTTCATGAATTTAAACGGTATTGAAACGCACACACCCACAATATGTTTTCTTGCAGTATATAAAATATTAACTGTACTTATATGTATGTATGCATGTGTAAGCAAAACTCAAACCAAAAATATAGTTTTTACTCCAGAAAAAAAAATCAGTAAAGTGCATGTTTTTTTTTTTTTTAATTTTTCCCGAATACCCACTAAACACAGCTGTGCAGCAAAGGAAGATGCGGCTTTGATGTAAATGGGCAACAGAAGTGGTATGCAAAGGAAACAATTAGTTTGATAACATAAGTATAAACTCTCTAAGTTAATTATGTGAGAACGATGAACGATTAAATAATGGTATTATAATTATTAATGTAATTGCAGCTAAGTAACGTAATAACTTCGTTTTATTCAGTAAAATATACAAAGAGATGGAAAATGAAAATTGTGTTTTAATTTCCAGKTTGCGAAAACAGTAAGTTCTTATTTCTGTTGTTGTAGCGGTAAAAACGAAAGTATATGAACGAAAATTAAAATTTTCGAAAATATCAGTAAAGCACACACGACGATAAAATACAACCCATGTTTTTTGTTACAATTTTTGGCTTAATAAGTGTGCGTTTATTTAATTTCTTTGAATGTTTTAGTACCTAAATTTATATGATTATATAACTATGATTTCATGCGATATATTGCAATGTGGTATATATGTCTTTTTGTATATTATATATAGCTGTATTAACGCTCAATTATAACGTAAATTTATAAACATTTAAAGTTGATTATACAAAATACAGCTTTAGATGTATGTACACATGTATGGACAATCGTGTTAACAATAATATTATTATAATATATATTATGTATCGCTTAGTAAACACCCGCAGATTCCATGCTAGTGCTGTGAGTCTCTTCATGTCGTTGCAATAGGCTTAAACACTGATGCAAACATTGTGTGCTGGCTGTTGAAATGGCTTTTAGTAAAAGTAAATCCGGGTCTGTCGGCGAAAACGTCGCGCATTCAATGTTCTCGATTGAACGCGCTAATGCGGCATTGCTAGAAAATTGCACAAAAAACATATGTGTATATAACGAAGTATACTTTACGTGCATATATTTGCTCACCATTGTTCGGTTAGGTAGAGCGCTTGTCTCGCTGATACCATTGCGTCCGAAGCGGCCAACAGTTCTCGCGGTGGGAGTGTTGATGAATTACTTATATCCATAGCTTTCGTATGACTCTCGACGACTGCTCGCAATCCGTCAACCCATTCTTGTCGTGAACGTGCGTCAGCTGCACGTAGTTTCAATGTATCGCCAGAGGCACAGCCGATAGAGAAGGTCCGCGAATCTTCATCACTAGGACAAACTACGGCGCCTGCCAAATGTACTTGTCCGCGTGGAGCGCCAGCTAGCACCTGTGCCGATGGTGCTGATTCATCACCAGTCGAAGAAGAGTCACACAAATAATAGCTCAGTGTACCGGTCTGTGAATCAACCGTGAACCAGCGGTATTGCCAACCTATAAATGTTTATATGTATGCAATTTTAAGCACTTTTATGGTTTGTCAATCAACGACGAACCTTTCATTACATTGGTATATTTGAATAGCAGTCCATGCAATGGATGACGCAAGGTTTGATTTAGCACACGGTTTATATTGGTATCCATGTTTGGAGGATGAATATTCTCGTTTGATAATTCGTTTGTGGTCGTAAACACTTCAGTTTTGCTGAACGTTGTTAGTGTTGATGTGCTTCCAGATAATGTAAGTTGTTTGTGTTTTGATTTCCTTTTACGGTGTTCTAAAGTTAATTTGATTTTACGTAGAATTTTTGCAAATTTTGATGGAAAACAAATAAAGTGAAAATTTTAGAAATATCTGAGCAAATGTAACAAAAGCACAATTGTCAAATGAAAATGTCTATTTGACATTCCATATAAAATGCATTCACTTCTAATGTGTTGAACACAATGCTCGCCACAGACTGCAAACGACATCTGTCAAATATTAAAATACACACGTTCTTATGGACGGACCTATTTTGACAGTTGCACGACTACACGACTGCAGGCCGACAGTTGTTGTTTTCGCTAACTTCAGTTTAATCCTATATTTTACAATGACAGTACTACGACAGTAGAGTTGACAGTTGRATGGAAGGTAGATGTGTGGAATACAATGCTCGCGGCAGACTGCAGCAGCACGACCGTAAACTGAAAATGGCGTTGTGAATCCTACTACATGAACGTTTGTGAGAGGGCAGCAACATAACAATGGCCGACACGTACACAAAACAACGCAGTTGTCCATTTTGCATGTACACAATTTCGTTGTGGCCATTCTAATACCTTGCACTTCAAGGTATTTTAATATTTTGTTCAAAGTGAAATTTCTTATGCAAAAAATAAGTAAATAGGTAAATTTATTCGTTTCAAATTATCAATTGTTATTACAAATGATGTAACAGAGCTGTTTTATGCTTTTATTTGTAAAGTAGCGTCAAGTTTGTTAGAGCTGTAAATAATTTTACATTTTACATATTAGTGGCATCACCACTCTTCCTCATCTCTCTATCTTGCATTCTACTGTCAACTCTACTGTCGTCCTACTGTCGTTGGCAAATATAGGATAAAATTGAAGTTAGCGAGAACGACAACTGTCGGCCTGCCGTCGTGTAGTCGTGCAGCTGTCAAAATAAGTCCGTCCAYAAGAACGTGTGTATTTTAATATTTGACAGATGTCGTTTGCAGTCTGTCGAGAGCATTGTATTCCACACAAGAGAGATGAGGTAGAGTGGTGATGCCACTAATATGTAAAATGTAAAATTACTCAAAGCTCTAACAAACCTGACGTAATTTTACACATAAAAGCATAAAATAGCTCTGTTACAATTGATAAATTAAAACAAATGAATTTACCTATTTACTTATTTTTTGATTAAAAATTTTACTTTGAACAAAATATTAAAATTTCATTGAAATGTAAGGTATTAGTATGGCCACAACGAAATTGTGTACATGCACAATGGACAACTGCGTTCTTTTGTGTACGTGTCGGCCATTGTTATGTCGCTGCCCTCTCACAAACGTTCATGTAGTAGGATTCACAACGCCATTTTCAGTTCACTGTCGTGCTGCTGCAGTCTGTCGCGAGCATTGTGTTCCGCACATAARGCAGATATGTTGTCAAAACGTGAATGGTTCTCCAATCAGAACTGCAATATCACTTCTTTAAAATAAAATAGGAATAGTTTGCTTTAAGGAAAGGGATACTGAATTAGAAATTGGATACGTATTTAAATATTTTTTGAGAAATTTTGAATTTTATAATATTTGCTCATATTATTTAAATTAGCAAACGAAAGTTTGTGATTTTCTTTCTTGACTGAACAATACAATTACTCCGAATGAACTTTCTTTCGTTCTGCACCTAAGCATGCGAGAGATTTCTCCAAAATGCAGAGTTGCATTATTTAAMCAAATATATGCATACGTTTATGTAAACAGATAGCTCTTACACCCTTTTTAAATTAATAACAACATATTTAACAACTATTTAAATATTCCTAATCTTGACAATTACGGAAATATATTTCAAATAATGTTTATATTAAATGGGATCATTGTTATTGTTTGGTCTCTACTTACATTATGCTTTTACGTACTTGTTTACTTTGGCATCATTCGTGTTTTCGTTGTCATCGAAAACAGTGGAGAGTTTGGAGAGAGCTCAAGCGAAAAAAATTGTTTCGTTTCGTTCTCATATTGGGCAGTAAATCCTCCAGAAAAGTTTGTAATTTTTAAACAGAAATAGATAAAATTTAAAACTTATGAAACTGTAAAATTAATATTCTAACTACGTGAAATTGAAATTTAATATAAATTGTGCGAATTTGTTGTGAAATAGTGGTTTTCCGGCAATATACAATTTCTCAAAAAATCAATGACAGCTAAAAACAGCGGAGCACCACCATCATCAGCAACATCAGGAGGAGCAAAAGAATAGCGAGAGGAAACTGAAATCGTTGAAGTGTAATGGGAGGATGAAGAAGAAGCAACCATAGGCAAGTTGTTAAGCAGCAATCAGCAAAATCTAACAGTGTACCAATCTGCTGACCGCAACCAGTGCCGACTACAAAAACGTTCTTTCATTTTGCGTTTGTGTGATTTTGTTTTATTTTGGAAGCGACTGCTCCAATGAATGATGAGTTGTAGTTAAAGATGAAGAGTAACACAAAGAATATCCGAAAAGAGATAAATACAATAATAATGAAAAGTTTAAAATAGAAAAAAAGGAACCAAAATTTGGAATGGTGCTGTTGACGTTGTTTTATTAATGCTGTTGAAGCCGACGTCGACATCGACGACAATTTTGACGGCAACGTTGGGTAGAACATAAGGCAATGGAYTACGCATTGTAAACGGAAACATTTTCGACAAGTAATAATTGCTCAATGCAAATAAACAAATGATTAGCTCAGAGAAACAATATATTATTAAGAACAAAGTTGGAAAGTGTCGTGAGAAATGTCACATTTAGTTAATTTATTAAACATTAAAATAAATTGAGAAAAACAACACATTTTCCCCAGCATGTGTGAAATGTAATAATCTGATATATTGTGATTTTTTTTTTTTTTGTTATTGCATGAGTCAACTTTGTTGGCTCGCTTTCGGGGTTAGGTGACAAATAAAAATATTAATTAAAAAGTGGTTGCAAGTGAGCTCATATGTTTTGAAATAAAATACCAACGAAAAATCCGAAGTTATGGCGGTAAAAAAGAAAATATTTGCTGAACGTAAAAACCGTGAAAAGGTCGACCGAAAAATCGATTAATACACCTTTAAACGTTGGCAACATAAAAACTTTTATCTTAAAAAAGGAAACTAACATAACCGTTATTGCGTACCATAAATATAAAGAAATATGGACGGACAAAGGGCGCGGGATATTTTAACACTGCTTCAGGAGCGTGTTGTTTGCCTCACTGGTGGTCGTGATAGACGAGGTGGTCCCTTGTTATGCTTTCCAGCAACACCGAAACGAGATCGACTTAAACCGGAGGATTTACGTCGTTTGCTTAGCTATTTAATTATGATACCAAGGTAAGCATTTACTCAATAATTTTAAAATTCTTATATCCATTCAATATTCCATATCAATATAAGACTAACTATTAACATTATAAATGTTTTTGCCTATGTAATTTATTCTTTAGCATTTTACTGTGCGCTAGTTCTGATGTAAAAATATCTCAAAAATCAAAACTAAAATTTCAGTTAAGTTCCTGTTCCTTTTTAGCCAGACCACACAATTATCGAGGCAAARTTATATGAATTACCAATTATTTTATTTTATTTCCTTGCATCACTCTCTTGTTTTTACACTCAATTTTTGCGAGCATTTTCTCCGCTTGGGTTTCGCATTTCTTATCTTCCACTATCCGCTTTTTGAACAAAAGATTGGTGAGGAAAATTTCACTTTATACACGGTGCATAAATAAGCACGGTTGCATATTGCAGCATGATTCATTTAAGTGTTATGCGTTATGGACTCCAAAGCGCCAGGCTTCAGGCTTAATGCAACCTGCACACATGTGTGTCAGCCGGTTGTAATATTCGCTATATTCAAGCTTAAACAATTGTTTACGCATGCAGTAAATTGTACATATGTATGTGTGAAGTCCTGTACAAGTTGTGTTTTTTGGAAAAAAAACACTAAAAATAATAACTTTCATAATAATACAAGTTTTGAAACAGGCACTCGGAAACAAAAGCCAATTATTGTTTTTGTCTAAAAGCATTACGAAATGCATAAAATGAAAAATGAATAGGAGTATAAATAAAACAAAAAAGATTTTCATGAGCTTGTTGTCACTTCAAATACTCCTAAAGGGGTTTCACCACTGTCGAATACATTAATTTACGTATAAGGAAACTACACAAATTAAAAACTACARAATATAAACTAAAACTATATACATAGTGGCAGTGAGGAACCTCACAATTGCACGCAACGCCCCAACAAAACGCACAATTAAAAATAAAAACGAAAGCAAAAGAATAAGGCAGCTCCAGTATACAAGGCGAATGAAAAAAGTACGAGTGAAAAATCACGCAAAACAACAAGAACAAAAAAATTTAAAAGACAAAGAGCAGCAATGGAGAAGCGCACTACAAAGATATGTCGAGACTTTAGGCAACTTTGGAGAAGGTGACGGCGACTGCTACAAAAATGAGGAAAACAACGCCGGTGGCAGCTACGTCGACGACTTTTGACTATAACAACGGCATTGGCGCGACTTTGGCGACGTTATTGCCTGCCTGCCTGCTTGCCTGTCTGCCGCAGCCACACACGCCTCCTACTACGCCGGCATCATAAACATCATTGTCAGCGAACGTCGACCACAGTGCCAAAACACACAGTGGCATAAATTTCTAAGGAAATCCATAAGCGCTGAAAATACGTCTTTGCATACGTAAAAACACAAATGATATATGTCTTCGTATAAGTTTATATACATACATAACTATGTATGCAGCTAAATATATAAAATACCCTGCATAAAATCAAAGTTGTTCAAGGCCAGATAAGACCAAATATTTATTCACAAATAGTTGGTGAGCCACAGGCAATATTATTGGAAAAAAAAAAAATGAAAATAAGAGTTAAGTTCGGGTATAACCGAACCTTTTATACTCTTCCAACTTTCAAGGATTAAAGCCTAGGGTGAGATTTTAGCCGATTTTATTCATTCTGAGCACGAATATGCACCGTTTTATGAAAAACACACTATCTCAATTTTATTAAGATAAACACATGTTGGCCGATATACATATGCGGTATAAAGTCACCGAAAGATCGAAAATCTTTATATTAAGTATATGGGGCTAAAAGAAGTGTTGTCCCGAATCAACAACCCATTTGTAGCATACAAAAATACTACTAACTGAAAAGGATTATCTCTGACTTTCAAATTATAAAYATAACACAATTCCCATAATAAATGGGAAGTAGGCGTAGCCGTAGCCCGAACTTTGTAGAAATCGGGAAGATCTCGAGCTATCTGATTTCAACTAAAAATGGGCGCTGCYACGTTCATCGCGCAATTTTGATCCCAGCGCAAGGCGAATTTAGCGATTTAGAAGATATGTACATTAGTGCGATCTCCTTTGCGCAATCATAGTTGTATATCTTAATTTGATACTTTATATGATTTTGGTTAATATCGTATACATACGATCTCGAATTTTTTTTTTTTTTTTGCGAAGGAACGCACCTACCAACATTTATCAAGATATCCCAATTTTAACTCAACTTATAGCTTGCACGGATGGACGGACAGTAAGTGGATGGTATGGGGTCCAGTCTTCTTTTGTTTAGAAAGCTGTTGCCAAATTTATGGATAAGATGCATATTTGTATTTGTATATACCTAAGTGTACAAGTGTATATGACATATGTATGCGTGTTTGCATATCACATCGTAGAATGTTCTTCAAAAAGAAAAGGTTGTCTAATCATATCATTTTCACGAAGGCATATTGCATATGAATACCCCAGTTATCAGAGGAAACCCGAGTAACTCTTGCATATGCTCTCAAACTTTTCGGGTTTTGTTGTTGTTATGTCGGGGGAAAGAAACCTAAAGTAATTTGTAGGAATGTTGTCGAGTTGACAGTAGTTCTCGTATAAAAATTCGGGGAGGTTCTGGTTACATAGACCCGACTGTCGGCTTACTTTAATCATGTTTCGTAGTCACTCCGCATATCTATTCGATTATGATTTAGTTTTCTGGTGTGGCGCTCTATCCATTGTACTTTTAATGATAAGATTTCTCTCATTACACATACAATCCGGTTCGACGACGTTCGGAAYGACCGATAAGTATTTAGCTTAATGCCTTATTTACTGTAGATAGATAGATTCCTCAACATAACTGATTGTTATTATTTTGATTATCATTATTTCTCTATACCCAATGGTGACTTTCTTGATTGGAAACTGTCGCAAATGTACATTCATAGGTGCATTTATATCTACAAAATTTCTTGTGAATTGCCTTTCCTTGTATACGGCCTGTCTCTTATACACATCTAGATGTGTATAAGAGACAGTCTCTATACCCAATGGTGACTTTCTTGATTGGAAACTGTCGCAAATGTACATTCATAGGTGCATTTATATCTACAAAATTTCTTGTGAATTRCCTTTCCTTGTATACGGCTATGGTGTCAAATTTCATGAATTTGTTTTGAGCTGTCTATGTTTGTACATTGATTGTGGTTCAATGTATGTATGTGCCTGTTTATATTTATTAAGTGTGCTTGGTACCGGAAACAAACAGGCCCCTGTTTGATTAATATGAACCTACGTATGTATGTTTTTGCAAAATACTTATAATAATATTTTAATTTTGAAAATACTTGTAAGTTAAAGTTCTTGACATGTAWGTATTTACTAGAATTGTTTATATTATTACTACAACAGCTGCTATAATCTGTACTAAATAAATTGTTAACCTCTGAATTTCTTGCCACTGGCAACTTGGCGGCAGGAAACCACCTTGCTAAAGTCCTTAAGGAAGAATGGACGCCAAACTAAAAAATTRCAATAGATAGATAACATAAATTATTAGTTCACTGCATGATCCTATTCAATTATTTTCATTACKTGTGGGAAGTTATTGATCACCACAGAATCAAGGTAGAATGTTGCTAGCTTCACTTAACCTATTGAAAACTTTTGATMCAATCATCTTTGTAACGCTATTCGAAGACATAGTTGAAAGGGTAGACAAGGAATCCTCAAGATATTTCGCTAGCTAGTTGCTCAGTTTYAAGATATATATCTGAAATTTCAAACAAGCTACTCCTTTGCCGAAACCGACATCAGACCACTAGAGAATATACATTCATACATAGCTGTCATACAAAGTGATTGGTCAAAAATAAGTCAATATGTGGAAAACTTTTTTATTTTGCAAATAATCTTCACGTAATTGAACATAGCTGTTGTTCAGATCGGACAACTGTATCATATACGCACCTGCACATGTGAACCGTATTCTAGTTTCGTTGCAGCCGGAGATAATGATTTTTTTTAGAAAATGCTACTGTAAATTTTGGGATTTCAAAATCTAATAAATGTAGAACACGCTGTACTCACGTAATTATTCTACTTTTACTTTATATAACCCTTATAAGATACCGACGGGTTTCCTAAGCCCATAAAAAAACGTATTTATGAGTACATTACCCATGTCATTTTATTTGCCGTCTACACCCAAAGAATCAAATGTGTGACAGAAGCTGCATGGCTCCTATTTCGACATTTATATATTATACATTCTTATTTAATTATGCATTCAAACAACACATAGGAAAGAGTTAAGATACGCATACAAATCTGCATACATATTGTATATCCATTTGCAAGATTGTATGTGTGTTGATGCAAATCACTTTGTGGTTTGTGGTTAACTAATATCATTAAAATTACGCAAAATTAGTTTAAAATACAATATTATCAGTGTTTTATAATGTGGTCACATATTTTTGATATCTAAAATATTTTRCGTACAGTAATGTGTCGATAAGTAGCACAGTTCGTAAATTTGGTTATATGTATATAACATATTTACTATGTTTTTCACTATTTAGTAATTTTGGTTATTATAAATTTATTTATATTATTTTTTTTAAAGTGTAATTTAATAATTTTCGTAAATCGTATTATTGTTATTTAACTATTAAAGTACTGTATTACCCATTGCTTGGAAAAAGCTTGTTTATCCAAATATTTTTGATTACAACAAAGAAATTAATGAAAMGAAATTGTGTCAGCATAGTAATTCATTGTAAAAAATCTTAATTTATGCAAACTTTGAACAACCGCTTTACCAATGTATGTTGTGTATATGTTTGTCGCAGTTCATTGCCTCATTGGGCATGTGTAGTCACATATGCCGGTGCGCGGTCTGCTGTTTTCGCTCCTATTTTTACGGCTTGTTCACGTCGAGCCATTCGCACGTTCACACTGCCCCCTTCGCTCTCTCGTTCTCTTTTGGTCGCTCGTTTCACCCAGCCTACCGCCTTTCACGCTTTTATTAAAACTTTATTTTGGCTCCAACTAATTTCACTAATTTGCTATTCTTTCATTTCATCATAGTGATTCAGCGAAGAACCTCGGCTTCACGGTCATCATTGATATGCGGGGCAATGGCAATTGTTCCACCAACCTAAAGACAATACTCAAAGTACTGCAGGAGCACTTCAGCGCTAACATACATAACGTGGTGCTAATTAAACCGGATAATTTTTGGCAGAAGCAACGCGCTTCGATATCGACAAATAAATATAAATTTGAAACATCGAATATATCGATCGAGGCCCTACACAAAATAGCCGAGGCGCATCAATTGACTTCTGATTTTGACGGCACGCAGCCGTACGATCACCAACAGTGGACCGAATCGCGTTTGGCAATCGAAGATTTTTTTTGGCAAGCGAGCGATATGGCTGATCGCATCGACGATCTGCAGGAAGACTTGCAGCGCAATGATTTCGCCGAAGATGTTAACGGCGCGAAGCATTCACTCGATCATCACAACGAAATGAAGAAGAAAATACAAAATCTGCCGATAGAAGATTTGGAATTGCAAAGCAAGAAATTGCTAGCTAAGATCAATAAGAATACCGGTGCCGCTGGTGTGCCTGGCAGACAGGTGAGTGCATATAGTTGAAATATGTTATTTTAATGAAAATATAAAATTTTGATTTCATCCACAGCCCTGTGTTGGCTCCGGCGCCGATTGTRGTGGCAGCGATTCCGGCACTTCAACGCAGACGCAAAACTCTTCAYCAGCTTTTCGCGCTGCCACCAATAATCCCGACATGGGCGCGGCTATCAATAAAGCGCTGCGTCAAGTTGACCTTATACGTAATGGTCAACAACGTTTGCTCACCTTATGGCAACACAAGAAGTCCAAGTTAGACCAGTGTTTTCAATGGCGTCTATTCGAGCAAGATTGCGAGAAAATGTTCGACTGGATATTGCACAATCGTGATGTCTTTCAGATGTCTTATGTCGAAATTGGGCATAACTATTCTGTGGCGAAATCACTGCAGGACGAGCATCAGAAATTCGCAGTCGCATCCATGAATGTGTCAGTCAATATTGATCGCATACTTGCCGTTGCCTCACGCCTCATTGAGAGTCAACATTACGCTGCGCAACACATTAAAACACTAGCCACGCGCCTCGATCGCACTTGGAAAGACTTCGCTGCTGGTCTGGATGAACGCACGGCGGTGCTGCAACTGAGCGTACTTTTCCACCACAAAGCGGAACAGTATTGCAATAGCGTGACCTCTTGGGCAGCAGCCTGTCAGGCCTCACAGCCGCTTCCATCGGATATACAGAGCCTGGAAACCGCAATACGTACGCATCAGTCACTCTACGAAGCCATGTGTCAGGCTTACACCGAGGTGCACTCGACCAGTAAGAAACTACTATACCAATTGGATCATCTGGTGCAGGTGTGCAATCAACCTCCGCCACCTGGTGTACCCGATCACCGCAAGAATAGTAGCTTTAATAAATACGAGCGCCAGAACCCAGCAGCTGAYTACAGTGAGGGTGCTTCGCATGTGCTCGCTGTTATTCACCAAATATTGGGACATCACCGCTCGCTGGAGGCGAAATGGCATCAAGAGAAGATCAGATTACATCAAACATTGGCGTTGCGCCTCTTCCAGGAGGATGTAAAACAAGTGTTGGATTGGCTGAAGAATCATGGTGAGGTATTTTTGCGCAAGAATACCGGCATTGGACGCAACCTGCAGAAGGCACGCGTCTATCAAAAGTCACATGAGCACTTTGAGAATGTGGCACAGAACACTTATAGCAATGCGGAGAAATTGCTCTCGGCAGCAGACGAACTGGCAAGGAGTGGCGAGGCAGATCCCAATGAGATATACTCAGTTGCGCGTGAGCTAGAATTGCAGGTTGCTAGTTTTGCCGAGCGCGTTGAGCAAAGGCGCCGCCGTTTGGAAATGGCTGTTATATTTTACACACACGAGAAAGAAGTCACCGCTTGGATTGACCAATTGCGCACCGACGTGTCCACCGATCAAACTATGCTCTCTCAGGAGAATCTCGAAGGTATTGAGCGACATTTGCAACAATTCCGTGAGCAGCAGGAGAGCACCCTCAAGGGTTGCATGCAGACTATCGCACAAGGCGAGGCGTTGTTACAGGAAATGCGCTCACTCGAATACGATGAGAATAGCTTGTCCATATCGGGACTCGAAACGACTTTAGAGAAATTAACCAAACAAAAAGTAGAATTGGAGGAACTTTGGTCAGCGCGTCAATATCGCGCCGATCTTATACTCCGTTTACGCTATTTCGAACGTGACGCAATGGAGCTCTCATCACAGTTAGAAATTTGGTCGGAGGAGTTGCAGCATGCCGACTTGTCACGTGACTACCAAAAAGCCGAACAATTGATACGAATGCACAACGACTCCGTAACTGACATTCAGAACACCACCTACGAGGTGCTACAACAGGGACAGGACCTACTGCAAATGTTCGAAACGGCTGGCATCATTTCGATGGCGGATGCCACGCACACAGCGCAGGCGCGCATACAGTACCTCTTGGACTTTTTGGGCGAGCGTGAAATTGACCTTGAGGAACTGTCTGAAGCGAAGCGCGCGAAATTGGAGCAAGCCGTGCAACTGTGCCAGTTTCAAAATGATGCCAATCAAGTAATATCATGGATACGCAACGGGGAAGCCATGCTGGTGGCCAGTTTTGTAACCCCCAATAGCTTGCAGGAGGCCGAACAGCTACGCAAGGAACACGAACAATTCCAGGTGCGATTGATTCACTTATTTYTTTCTTCAAATTTCAATTTTCATTACGTTCACAGGTTGCCATTGAGAAAACACACACCTCCGCCGTACAGGTGAAATATCGCGCCGACGCACTCATCAATGCCAACCATTATGATCCGCAATCGATACGTGAAATCTCAGATGATGTCACAAAGAAGTGGCAACAACTGGTTACCTACGCCGAAGAACGGCACAAACTGGTGACTGCATCAATGAATTTCTACAAAACCGCGGAGCAAGTGTGTTCCGTACTCGACAGCCTGGAGCGTGAGTATCGCCGCGAGGACGATTGGTGTGGCGGCGGTGGCTCTAGTGATAAAGCTCAAACTATTGTGCAGCTAATTTCCAAGCATCAGGAACAGAAGGAGGCATTCCTCAAAGCGTGTACACTGGCACGTCGCACCGCCGAAACATTCCTTAAATATGCAAACCGTTCGCAACAGTACTATAAGTACCAGTCGCATGGCAACTGCGAAACGCACGTACGCACCATCCTCGATAAGCTGTTGACGCAGGAGAATCAGGTGCTCGAATTTTGGACACAACGCAAGAAATCGTTGGATCAGTGCCAACAATTTGTGCTGTTCGAACGTAGCGCGAAGCAAGCCATCGAATGGATACACAACACCGGCGAGGCCTACCTCTCCTCACGCACCAATCTGGTGGGTAAGACACGCGAAGAGACCGAAGGTCTACTCAAAGAGCACAACGAATTTCGCGGCACGGCGAAGGAAACTCGTGAGCGCGTTAAACTGCTCATACAACTGGCCGATAGCTTGGTGGAGAAAGGACATGCACACGCCAGCGCTATCAAGCAGTGGGTTGCGTCTGTCGATCAAAGGTGTGTTGTGCTAAATTCTTATAATATTTGGTTTCAAGTTTAATGCCGTATTTGTTGTAACAGATATAAGGACTTCAGTAATCGCATGGACACTTATAGAGAGCAGTTGGAGAAGTCTTTGGGCATGTCAATGGTGGTGCCGCTGGAGTCGGACGCAAATTCTTCGATTAGTTCTGCTTCTGGTGAGTAACCGTAAAACAACAGTTAGSGAGAGCAAAGTGCTTGGATATTAAACTTTTACACAAAATTTACTTCTCTTAAAGCTCTTATGTTCTTAAATTGTTATTTTGTATTTATTCTTCAGTCATATATAATAATATCAACAATTATGCATTAATTTCAGGCTCCACCACCGATCGCCACTCAGATCCTTCGCTGGAGGCCAAACTTACTACATCCTCCACGGCCGCATCGAAGGAGATTAACGAAGAGAAACGTAAATCCGCACGCAGAAAAGAGTTTATTATGGCTGAGTTAATGCAGACTGAACGTACCTATGTAAAAGACTTGGAGACTTGCATCAAATGCTTCCTYGAGGAATTTCGCACTGGGCAGGGTGTGCCAGCTGCATTGGCCGGCAAGGAGGACACTCTCTTCGGCAATATACGTGAAATTTATAACTTTCATCAGAAAATATTTTTACGCGAATTGGAGAAATACGAGACCATGCCCGAAGATGTTGGGCATTGTTTCGTCACTTGGGCCACAAAGTTCGATATGTATGTATATTATTGCAAAAATAAACCGATCTCGAACAACTTGATGGTACAACATTCGGGCACATATTTCGATGAGTTGCAACATCGACACAAGGTCGAACACCCCCTACCAGCTTTTCTCATCAAGCCCGTACAACGCATTACAAAATACCAATTATTACTCAAGGATCTACTCTCCTGCTGTGAGGAGAGTCATGGTGAAATCAAAGAAGGTTTAGAGGTTATGTTGAATGTGCCGAAGAAGGCGAACGACGCAATGCATTTGTCATTGTTGGAGAACTGTGATGTGCCCATAGATAATTTGGGTGAGGTGGTGTTGCAGGATGCATTCCAAGCTTGGGATACAAAGCAATTGATACGTAAAGGTCGTGAACGGCGTGTATTCTTATTCGAATTGTATTTACTCTTTGCCAAAGAGGTGAAGGACTCAAACGGTTCCGTTAAATATCAATTCAAAAGTAAACTCATGACAACCGGTTAGTTAGATATTGATTAATAATAGTTTTCAGTCAGTATTAACTCGTTATCAATGATTTTTACAGATATGGGCATCACCGAACACATCGAGGGTGATGAAACCAAGTTTGCTGTGTGGACAGGGCGTTCGCCAATGCTCTCCGATTGTCGTATTGTGCTGAAGGCAAATAGCTTGGATACCAAACAAGTGGGTATTAGGCTCATTTTAATATAAAGTAGAAATTTGCCACCTATTTGAAAACGTTCCGTCAAAAAACTTTTAAATATTCAATACGATATGAGGTAATGTTGATTGAACCCTATTTTTATACTCTCGCAACAAAGCTGCTAAGGAGAGTATTATAGTTTTGTTCACATTAACGGTTGTTTGTAAGTCCTAAAACTAAAAGAGTCAGATATAGGGTTATTTATACCGTCCGTCCGTCTGTCCTTCCGTCCGTCCTTCCGTTCCGTTCCGTTTGGACGTAATTTTTTTTTTTTTGGAAAAGTGGGCGTGGCCCCGCCCTCTACTAACTTTTTTGTACATATCTCGGAAAGTAGTATATTTTTGTCAATCAAACTCTATAGAGTCGTTTCTTCCAGGCATTTCCATATACAGTTCAAAAATGGAAGAAATCGGAGAATAACCACGCCCACCTCCCACATAAAGGTTATGTTGAAAATCACTAAAAGTGCGTTAACCGACTAACAAAAAACGTCAGAAACACTAAATTTTACGGAAGAAATGGCAGAAGGAAGCTGCAACCAGGCTTTTTTTAAAAATTGAAAATTGGAGTGGCGTCGCCCACTTATGGAGCAAAAACCATATCTCAGGAACTACTCGACCGATTTCAATGAAATTCGGTGTATAATATTTTCTTAACACCCTGATGACATGTACGAAATATGGGTGAAACCACGCCTTCTTCCAATATAACGCTATTTTGAATTTCATCTGATGCCTTCTCTGTATAATGTATACATTAGGAACCAATGATGATAGCGGAATAAAACTTTACACAAATACGGTATTTGAGCTGAGGTATCCTTTGTGCAAAAATGATCGTGATCGAACTATAACTTTTCAAAGTCCCTGATATCGAACACGAAGAACTCAGTGCGTAACCTAATTTTTCACCGAAAATATCGGTAAATCTCTCAGATATGTTCATGTAATTCAAAGGGAGCCCTTCATTACTTGTTAAAGTAGGGTTTCAAACTGTTTAACTTATTTTATTCAGTGTTAGTCTAAACGAATTTTAAATATATGTATATCAATGTACAAAAGTTTAAAAAAGCCTAATTAATGAATTTAACAAGGTTGCCACCTCTTAATTTTTATTCGATTAAATCATTTGATATATTCGGCATAGAATATTAAAGCAACGCTATAATCTACAAATAAGCTATTAATGTCGGACCACTGTAGCATATAATGATCGTACAAACTTACCGATCAAAACAAAGCCTTTGTATGGGAAACTTTTTTATTTCACAAAATGTTAGGCATGAATTTTTTCCAAAGCAACGGTACAAACTCCGCAGAAATTGTTTAGATCGGCCCACTATAGCATATAGCTGCCAAAAAAACTGATCTGTCAAAAACAAGTCCTTATATAGCAGGCTTTATTATTTGTGAAGGTTATATCGTCGATGAAACCGAAGTGAACGTTTCTTCTTGCTCGAACAAAATTTTACTTAATTRTACAAAAGCTGATTTCTATTATGTGTAACAATATTTTATAAGTTAAAAAACGTCTTCTCTAACTTCGTTTACTCTTTCTCCAGGTGTGGGTGAAGAAAATGCGCGAAGTCATGCAAGAAACCTGCTTTTCGGGCACCTCGCTAACACTACCGAAATCGCCGGCTAAGAATTCCGGCTCATCGCAACGTTCATCGCGTGATTTAGATGAACCACTGACGGAGAATGATCACGATCGCTGCTCATTAGCCAGCTTTGGTTCCGGCAATACCACAGATAGTGACAATAAGGTAAGTCATTTCAATACCATCCCCGGAACGAAATTCGATTTAAAAGTGAAAATAATGAGAGAAGAACGCGCTTCATGCAACCAGTTACGAGTAATCAGATTTTCCAATGTATTTGAATTGCAGCAGCAATGCTAAAGTATTTTAGCATATTTTGCACATTTAATAGAATACTAAGGCAACAATTAGAATAAAAAGACTTGAAACTAAGACCCTCATTTTGCTATTTCTGTTCTGCTTTGAAGCGAGCAAATGCCTTTTTATATTTTCGTCGATGTGTTCATACGTTTGTATGTAAGCACAACTGTTTGCTTGAATGGCTGGGCGCCTGTTTGCTGTCATTCGATGATTTCATCGTGTCTTTTCCCCTATTCCTTTAAAGGAAACGCACAATAATGATAATAACAAAGTGAAAGCAATGAAACTCATACATTCATACATTTCAACTGATCAAGTTTAACCCGGACTGACGAAAAGAAATCCTTATAATCGCTTTCTAAATAGTCTCCTGACTCAATAATGAATGCCAATTTAATCCTATGCTGAGATTGCCCTTAGTGGCTTCTATGAATTTTGATTTTTTCGTCTTGGACTAATTTTTGGAAAGCCATTCTCCAGTTTGTTGAGCAGTTTCAAAGTCCTATTCGTAAACCCACATTATAAGAGGTGTTGAGATCCTCTGCTATCTCTTTGATGTCCGTTCTTTTAAGTCTTTCGATTTTATCGTCATTTACAAAGGATAGTGTTCGTTGACTTAACGACCTTCACAAAACGCGGACCAAATTTTATCACTTGGTATATTTGTGCATACTACACGGGAAATTAGCTTCTTCTTCGACTATCTGCCCAAAAATTCTTATAATCAAATTCCTTTTCCCTCCAAAACTTGTGTAAWAATTTACACTTCCTAGGGCAGCTCTTGTTGCAGATTTYTGCATATCAATCTTTATATCATAATAAAGCTCCAAATGTGTAGCTTACAATGCGTCCAAACATACTGGGCTATAATATGGTATAAATTAAGTTTTGAAATTAAATAAATATGCATGCAGGCTACAAAGAAAGCTCCCTGCAACAATGCGTACCGCAGCTGCTCTAACTGCTGCTCCCGCATCGCACCGCGAATGGGAGGACATAATTTGGCCTACCTCACGTTTAAATTTGGTGTACATTTATGCACAAAAATTCGTTACCTCTGTTGGTATATATTATCTATGTCGTATATTCTGCGGTTTAACTATTTTCCAGCCCCGCGTTTCTCCCCCACAATCGGGTGCGCTCACGCAGAGCATCTAACAACACCGCTTTCGCGAGTGTGAGTCGAAATGTAGTGAGAAAAACAGCGAGCATGAGCGAATTTGTAGTGCGAGCGTATTTCTCAACCCCAGCAAAAGCTCCGTGGTACAAAATAATACACCTTGTTTATATGGTGTCTTCTGAGTAGCTACTTATAAGCATACACTTAAATACAGATGTTTATTTTGATACGCAAAGCTTCGACGTATATGCTTAGAACTTTGTTTGCTTAATATTAATTGAATTTTTATTATTTCCAATACTCTTAAAATTTTTATAATTTTTTACTGTCCAAATTCTTATCACTTTGTTGTGCGCTAATTTGCAGCCCAATGCGAACTATATGTTTGGAGATTGTAGGGTAGTGTTCGGTGATAATCTAGGCCAAACAATTTTTCATACACGAACTAGGTTTTGAACGTTCAGTTTGTATGACAAGCTTATAGTAGTCCGATATCTTGGGAAAAACGTGTACAAAATTTAAGATCTCTATCTCAAAAATTTAAGTACTAATACTAGACGGGCAAACAGCCGAACTTGCCTAAATCGATTCAGCTTCCCTTACTGCGTTTAGTTGTTTTTAATGGCTTGACAATAACAGACAATCAATTTGTAAGTAATCAGTGTGTAATCAGTGTATATGGCAGTGCAACCAATATTATGAATAATCAATAATTTTTTTCATATCAAGTTTTTGGTATTTACATTTTTTTCGATTGGTAATCATTTTTTAAATATACGCTTTTGTTKAAACTTTCTTTTGATAAGCTAAATGATTAGCTTAGGCAGATATGTGTTTTTCATTTTTTGTTGCTTTTGTGTTGCTATCTACATTTATGGACATGCAAGCAATAAAATTATACTCATCAAAAGATGCATCAGTAAACCTTTACGACATGCCCCGAATGCTTTATGGCATCTCATTGCATTAACCCGGGTCTCTATGAGCTCCAAATTTTGGCACGTCAATTCCGAGTGCTAAAATTATTCGGCTACTTCTAACGGAAAGCGCATATTGTTGTTGTTAGCATTTTATTATCAGCACCGCATTGTTTTCGTGCGCTTCGTTATACGCACTTATATATTTATCGTTTTTTGATATTCTTTAGATTGTTGTATTTTTTACCTACTCATAAGCACAATGTGGTGCATTGTTAGAATATTAATAAAGTGTAACAAAAACAACACAACAACGCGGCTAGCAAAGATTGAGCTTTTTCACCAATGCAGAACATTTTCGACAAAAGTGAGCGAGTCGATAAAAAGCGCCCTTTCTACAAACGCACGGAGAGAGCGAGAGTACCTGTAAGAATGGACGAGAACTAAGTCGTCTTCGGCGTTACGCTCTCTTTTTCTTAATATGGCAACGCATAGGAATTGGCGTAGTTATTGGCTGGTGCTTATTACCAACGAAACTGCTCGTTTGTCAACAATCGGTCGCCAACTTAAAGCCGATTTGGCTATACAGTGCTTGTGAAAAGTGTGTGTACCATGTATTTCCCACTACAGGTATAGCTAAGAGTACGGGAGGCATGGTGTGGCGTGTTGTTTGTGTGGACCACCGTCACTTTTAATTGTGTTATCTCGTTCGTCGTGTGCGCTAGGAGTCGGAGTTAGTTGAGTTCGCCCGCAATCGTTTATGCGCTCTTCATTGTTGTTGTTGGACTTCCCGTTGGTAGTGGCTTCCAGTTGCGTTATTATGTGGTGTGCAAAAAAACGCACTCACAGTCTAACGCGGTGCGGAAAGTGTGTCGGTTGGTCGTGTTGAAAATAGTCGCACGTTCGGTCGCACGCCCGTTTGATCCAACGCTCCACAAACGCGTTACGCGCTGTCTACTATGTGAGCTGCCTGCTGCAATAGTGGATCTTTTTCTCCTTCTACTTGCTAATACATCAACTTACTTACTACTTAACTACTTGTGCTTCACCAGGCACCCGTTTCAAACTTTCTCAAACTACAAGCAGCTGATTAGAGAAGCATAAAAAATAAGAAAAATTGCTCCTTAACCACCGTCTTTAGCGTAGCGTTTTTTCACGGCTAAAAAATTTTAATCGTACGTTGATAATTTGACTGCGTCAGTGTAGAATATTGAAAAAAGATCGGATAATTTAAAAAAATATTAAAAAAAAATTTTTTGATAGTGGAAAGTACCAAATTTAAAGTGAAAATTCTCAAAATAAAAAAAAAACAAATAAATTTTTGATTTTAGTAAAAGTTTTCTATTCTGTGCACGAAATATGCAGGCCTCCTTATTTAAAAAAGAGAATATTGGTAAATTGTTGTTATTTTTTTTTTAATTGAATTATTAACTTCTTTTCTATCAGAATTGGAAGCTTTTAATTGCCAGATTAAACGTTAAACGCCCTAGTTGCTGTTGTTGTAGCTAAAGTGTGTACCACTTTATCTTTGTAGTGCCAACTAACAGTAAAAAATGTTGCCGTTGTGTTTGTCGCCTATATAATCTTGAAATTTTAATGCCGCTGAAGTGCAAACAGTTATATATGAAAACAACAACACGAAAATCTTTGAGAAAATAAATCAGTTGGTAAATTGAGTAAACGATCTAAGCCGACTTTGAATAAAGTGCAGAAGCACACAGCCCAAACAAACATATGTACGTCACTCTCTAAATCCATGTAGTTGCATCAAATGTGTCCATGTATGTGTGCAGGAATTTTTATGAAACGCGTTTAGTATATTGAAGCTTTTGGGTTTTATCAAATCTATTATCCGCTTACGGCACGGCAGCACTAAAAGCGATTGCCAAAATTCCGTATGTGCGCAGGTTTACATTTATATATTATAACTGTATGTGTCTGTGTGTGTGTTTGTGCAAATATTAAATCTATGCCAGATATCATCTGCGGGATGTTTGAATAACCGAAATATACTCAAAGCTGTCGTTGTCACCAACATCGTGGCACACACACGAATTTGTAAATTCACTCACACATACACACGCTTTCGTAAATACACACGCATACTTACATTGTATTCCCTATAGCACTTGTGTATGCCACAAAACGAAGCAACCACAGAACAGAGATGCCAGAAAAGAGACATAGACATAGCCAAACAAACAAAAGGGCCACACAATCGGCCAGCGAAAAGGTGGTACAAAAAAGGCAAACGAGATGCGGCAAATCGTATATAAGAACCACAAAAATTCGTAAGCAATCGCAAAATCGCAATGTAACGCATTCCTTGTAAATTGCGCCGGTAGCGTTAGCTGGCAGTGGCTGATGCCTGGCGGCTGGCAGCTGACAGTGTGCTTGAGATGTTGCTATTTTGCCGTGTTTGTTGTTGTTTGCGGCTTGGAGGTCTTCACATAGTCACATAGTGTACAGAAACACAACGAAATCAAATGACCCTGTGCTGAAAATTAAAGTAGATACCTTTAGCTGCTACTAATGGCAGCTAAAGTCGGCTTCAGCGTCGGATGGTTAAATTTGATCAGATAGTATAAATATCACAGTAAACATTTCTGGCCATAATGCTTTATGTTATCGGAATAAATATCAGAAAAACATATAACACGTTAAATCAACAAAGTTAAGCTTTAAAGTGCTCTATTCAAAATTTCTAAAAATAGAGTTCAGCTCTTTTATCCCTTCGGCACACAAATCTTTTGATCGCTGAAAGCAAAACTTAAGTAAAGTTAGTTGTTAGTTTCGAAAAGACTCAGCAGAAGTATGCGGTTCATTTG